TTAAGCTTTCTCATCTTTTACCTGACCGCTCCGCTTTGCTGAGGGTTACTGCAGACTAGTAGAAGCGACCCTTCTGAGCAAATTAAATAAAAATAAAGAAATAAAATTATGTGAAGTAAAGCACTTACGATTGTAGTGGAATGTTTAGTTTTGTCGTCCAAGTTTAACCAAGCCCTATATCCAACAAAATTTCTTTCTTCAGTTTCCTCAAAAGCGACCAACAAAAACGATGAAGAGAAAGAATTGATCTAATATAGCCGAAATAAAATGTTGTGAATGTCAAAAATTTCACCTGAAAGAAACTTTGACGTTTTACTTGTCGTGTTGTTGTTGACTTACACTCGACTGATTCATAGTGGTTAAACTGAAAACAGGTGAATTTGAAGTCATGTTCTCAACAGTTAATTCGTCTGACTATGCGAATTCCACAGAAATAATCTTTTTTTTTTACTATGATTACTGAGCGCTGTTTTTTTCTGTGCTTTTTCCGTTTTTTCAACCTCGCAAAACTCTTCTCTATATTGCATGAAAAATGCTTTTAATACATATGTAAAAATTTTTTGTTCCAACCTTCTTTACACATATAGTGGTAATAGATTAATACCACTTCATTGTATTATTACTGGAAAAAAGTGACGAGTTGCTGACAGATTATTTTGTATGTACTGATGTATTTAATATTTGTATGGTTGAAATAATCTGCATAAAAGTCTTTTAATTTTACTGTCAGTATTAGCAAAACGAGTGAAGATTTTAGAAAATATAATTCAAAAAAAAAAATTTATTGGTACCTAACGGCATAAAATACTTAGAAAGAAAAAAAAGAGTTGTATTTTTGAGAAGAGCTGTTGTGAGAGAGAGAAGAGCTGAAACTCTTTTTATTCTGATAACCAAAATAATTTATTTCACAACTACTTATCTGAAATTGTCAAAAGAAAATATCTGTTACCACTGTTTGCAAATTTGATGCTGAATCAAAGTTTTGTTATTTAACTTCCAGGAAACATTTCTGACTATGCTTAGTTATCGTGTTAAGCCTTTAGACTGAAAGTTTAATTTTATTTCATTATTTTTTCACTGTTAAACATCAATCGCCGAATAGGCAAATATTCGTCTTTGGTTGTCATTCCTTAATCTTTCTTCTGCGCTACTACTTATACATGTAAGTGCTCAACAGAAGCAAAATGTGTTGTGCCCTTCCTTTCTACAAATTTTGTTTACACAAAATAGTACACTTTGAAAAATTCAATTTATAGTCTTCTTTGAAGAGAGAAAGTAGAAAATTTTTGTAATAAAGAAGGTAACAAAAGTTTCAGGATTAGTGTTAAAACGCTAGTTAGTGCAACTATCAGTGACTATGTAAGGACTGTTATGTAAGCCAATCTTACAACTTTCTTATTAATGATGTTAAAAAGGCAGCAAATATCGTATTTATGTAGCCGTGTTTTAAATCCCTTCTATTTCAGAAAACAATTTATGCAAAAAACTTCGTGCAAAAAAAAATTTCTTTCTGCGGTAATACGTCTCTAATCTTGCAGCACTGCTGCGAAGGCGCTGTTAGTTTTAGTTTTGAAATAAACTCGCTGGATCTTAACAACTTAACTGGATACCTTTTCCTGACAAAGCAGATGTCCTAGAATTCATGATTTGGTCGCTTTCAAGGTTTTATTCTTTAAGGAGACACTAATTTACACTAATCTGAAAAAGCAGATGTTAAACTATACGTGGAGTTGTTGAGTTACTGATAAACATCAAAAATTTTTAGTTATTAAAGCATAAGTTTTTTAGGGATGTTATAAGTGCTTAAAAGCAACACTGACTGTGCACAAAAACTAGCTCTACAGGTAGTCGAGCTCATAAAGTGTAAACCCAATGAACCTTTAAGTACCAATGCATGTCCCTTGTCCTCAGCAAGAATGTCACCGTCAACAGAACAATCTAGCTGTTGCTGTTGCTTTTACTGCTCATCTTTGAAACAGAAAATTGCTAGAAATCCACCTACTTTTAGGCATAATGTAAGTATAATACTTTGTTTTCCTCAACTTTTGTACTCTCTTCACAGTATTTTTAAAACTAATAGCTATTTTTTTAGGTGTCAACAATTGGCAACAGTAGGCAAGATGAATGTGTCAAAAAGACAGTGAACCACAAAAAAATTTCGTCTACATCAGTTAAGCAAGCGTCAACTGTTTCTTCAGAAGTCGTTCATGATGAGCAAAAAGATGACAGTGGTGGCGATGGGTAAAGGCGACTTTTTTTGTTAAGAGTTATAGTAGAACAAAAATTTGCCGCACAAAAATTTTTTAACTGTTAAGCTGTTCTACTGACAGCAAATTGCAGATTTCATGATCAGTTGACGATGGATCGCGAGAATGCTAAAAAATTTGTGCAAGAAGTGAGGTTGGAACCTGTACTGCTGTATTCCTCGTTGACTACTGATTGTACTGAAAAAGTAGCTTTCACGACAGAAAACCGAGAAGGTATTATAACTTCAGGGTTAACAGAAAAAATTGCAGTTTTTTCTTTTTCTTTCTTTGTAATTGTTTTGATTCTTTTCTCACTCAACTTAATATTAAACTTTTGCTAAACATTGACCAACTCTGAAACATGAGTTTAAATTTTCTATGCTAGATTTAGCCACTGCAATCTGACTGTCGGAAATAAACAAATGATCCATATTATCTAAAAAACTGGCAAAAATGAGGAAAATTTTGCTGTTTGCTCAAGAGTTACGAGTTAAAATTTTTTTAGTTAATCTAGCAACAAACAAAATCTACAATTCTCTTGTTCACAGAACGACTTCTACTAGAACTATTTAAAGTGCGCATAAAATTTTTTCTTTGAAAGACACTTTTAGGAACTTTTAGTTACTAATATTTTGGGGTCTATTTGCAGATCAGAAGTATTGTTAAAGTTTGACAGTTTTATTATCGTGGAAAAAAAATTCTGATAATCAATATTGTATGGCTTCAAAATTAAAAAACAAAAAATCAATAGAAATCCTAAAATTATCAGTTTACCAGACGATATTTAGAGATTGATATAACACCAAAACTTGATGCAGAAGGCAGTTCGGAAGGGACAGAGGTCGAGGGAGAAGGAAATACCAATGGCCATGGCCAGCTAATGAAAATTCAGGATGTTTTCAGTTACTGCTTTACCAACTTTTCAGGAAAATTGGTAAATTTTTTAAATATTGCTTATGCTTGGTGCACTTCAACACTACTGGATATCCTTGAATATTTCAACTGGTAAGCCAAAAATGGTACGGGAGATTGTTAGTTGTTGCTGTGACTTTATTCCATGCCTTGTAAACATATACGTTTGCAAAAAAAAAAAAAAAAAAAAAAAAAAAAAAAAAA